GGGGAAATATTAGGGGTCCAAACAGACCCCTGACATTTTCCTTTTAAAATAGAAAAGAAATTGAGGACACCAAATCCTCAATTTCTTTTTCAGCAGCCTCAGCACTCAATGAATGGGAAGCTCTCAGTAAAGAGGCTTCCCATTCCATTCAGACACTGATAGTAAAATATTTTACTATCAGCAGGTTCTGAATGGGGAGGAGCCTCTGTACTGCGTGCTTCTTCCCATTGAGGAAATCTTGAATGAACAGGCTGTGATGTAAATCACATTTTGTTCATTCATCACTGGGGACACATAGTACAAATGTGTCCCCAGTTATTTATAAACACTGGAGTGATCAGACGATCGTTCCAGTGTTTGTCCTTCTCACACGGAGGATTGGTAAGTATCATTGATATTTACCGATCCCCCGCTCTGCCACGCACAGAGCCGCTGTCATCCTGAAACTGACAGGATGACAGCGGCTTCGATCTCCTCCCCGCTCGGCCATCCTGACAGCTGCGGCCCCGGCATCTCTCCCCCTCACCGCACGGCCATCCTGACAGCAGGCATCGCTCTCCCTGCGCCCCGAGGGACGAGGGAACGCTGTCATCATGTCGGTGAGGAGGAGAGCGGTGAGGAGGAGAGAAGCCGCCCCGAGGACGAGGGGTGTTAGGGGCGTTGCCGCGGCGCCCCTAAGGCCGGCCTTGAAGCATCATTCATTCAAAGATTTTACAACCTGCTCCTTCGATCTTCTGGAAGGGTTCTTGATGAGCCGGCTGAAATTTGCATAGTGTATAGTCAGCTTTGCTACCTAATGGTCAGATCTTGTGTCCTTAACACCACCTGTCCTTTCTCATCGTTGTAATGAGAAAAGCACCTGCCTACCTTTACTGTACAGGACTGTTTGACTGTATGCTCTAAAAATAAACCTCTGAGGACAGGGTAGGCCTAAATTTGACTTTCAGTTCTGTGCAGACCCCTAGGACTAGAAGTGAGCCAATCACATAAGAAGGAAATGTGTGCAAAGCTTCTATGGAACTCCTTTAGGATGTCATATTTGCAAGGAAAAAAACATTACATTTTTTTCCACCTTATCAAAAAATGGTAACTATATGTAAATTGTTTTTTTTTTTGTTTATTATATTTTTATTGCACTTCAATGTAATATAATTTACACAATACATTTTATATGACAGATATTAAATACAAAACCCACAGATACATCATACATCAACCACTCACATAAATTCCTGCCAAATCTCCATCCCCTTGTCTTATCATTTGATCCAATCTTTCCATTTTTTCCATTAATCCTCTTCTGGAGGGAAGGGGGGAGGACCACCTTTGTAATCCACTTATATTTATTCCTCCCCCTAACAAAACAAAACAAAACAAAACTAAAAAAAATCCTCTGTGAAAAGAGAGAATTTTCTGCTCCTCTTTAGTGTCTATTTTCCATGTGTTCTACTAAGATGTCTTATAGACAATTATACTAGCTATTTGTGTTACTCCCCTATTTCCTCTAATCCACTCTCCCCTCAATATTGTGATCCTATTCTTCATATGACCTCTTAAATATCTTTCCCATCTTAATCCATTAACCACTCTTATATAACCCCTATCTACATATGTGTTGCCCTATCACCTTCCCCTAATATGGATGTCCCCATTTCCCTACCCTCCCATTCTCCCATTCCTCCAGAAGACATTCTTCCCTCCTCTCAATTTCTGCCATTCATACAGGTCAAGACTCTATGTTAACACTATATATATCCATCCAAAGATCGTATTTTGCCATTGGCCATATATTTATTACCCATCTCTAGATTCGTAATTTCATCTTCTCTATACCCCTATATATTCCTCAGACTGTCTATAATTTACCCAATTTCTCCAGATCTTATCAAAGTAAATTTTTTTTATAGACATGTAAGCTGCGGAAAAATTCAGTTTGGTTCAGTTCGGATATTTTGTTATTTCAGGAGTTGGGATTTGCATCCGAAAATCAATTTGGTTTGGGTTTCGGATTCGGATGTAATCCGAATTTTCGTTAGTTTCGGATGAGTTTACTAATATTCATTGTGAATACCACAGAAAACCATACACAGATATTAATACTAAAGCTGAAGCTCCTGGACCCGAATGGCATTTGGGATCCGAACTCCTGAATTGCATCAATACCATTCGGGTCTGAGAGCCATATATATATATTCCTAAAGCTGAGGCTCCCAGACCCAAATGGCATTCAGGAGCTCCCGAATGCAATTCGAAAATTCGGATCCCGAATGTCATTCGGGTCTGGGAGCCATATACATATATTACTAAAGCTGAGGCTCCCAGACCCAAATGACATTTGAGAACTCCTGAATGCAATTCGGGTCTAGGAGCCTCAGCTTTAGTATTATATGCATATACTGTATATGGCTCTCCTATTGCCGTAACGGAAATTAGTGTTCAGACCCATTCGGATGCATTAAACCGAAAACCACATCTGATTGGCCAGAAAAGTTACATGTCCGATTCAGTTTAGTTTTTGAACGAAACCTGGACGGGATGCGAAATTCCAAAACGGAAATTCAGACACATTCGGATGCATTGGGATTTGGAAATTCGGATGTGTGCGAATGTCCGAATTTTGGAAAATTTGTATGAATTATGATTCGGAACGAGACGAATTGCACATGTCTAGTTCATGAGAGATGCACTTCAAATTAGAAAGTGTCCCAGTTGGGTAATGTTGCCATGATAGGATTCTTTGGGGTTGATTTACTAAAAGCAAATAGGCTGTTCACTTTCGAATTTTCCCTTAGCTAAGTGAATGAGGTGAAGCTCTGCTGACTTCCATCATCCAATCATGTGCAAGCAAAAATACTTTTTATTTAATTTTCCTTGCAAGTGATTGCGTGTTCCTTGCAAAGTGAATTTTCACTACATTCACTAAGCTAAGCGAAAATTCCCTTGCAAAGTGCACATCTCCTTGCAAAGTGAAGAGCCTATTTGCCTTTAGTAAATCAACCCCTTTGAATCAATATCATGACCAACTTTAGACATGCTACCTGCATCATTTCAGTGATTTTATGTTGGTAAATGAAGGAATAAACTTGTATAATATGCTTTATGAAAGTGTTGAATGTGAAGGTGTGCTTGAACGCTGTATTGCTTGTAATGCTGGAACAATGTAATTCTGCTTTCTTCATTTGATGTGTTGATATCAATGCATTTATCATGTTCTGAGCTTTGGGTTCTGCCATCTCTTTGTAGTACTATTATGAAGAAACAATCATTGAAGAAGGGGAAGTTGTGGGGGAAGTTGCGGAGGTAACGCCTCAGCAGCCGTCCAGTTTAAGCTCACTAAACTCGCTTCTGTAACCTGCTTCTCTTCCATGTTGCTTTTAGGGGATTTTCCATCGGAAACAATAAGGCATAAGAAGGAAACACTGAATCTGGTAACACGCAGTTACCTTGTGATGCTGATAATAGGGGCATTTGTAACCAATTCTGCTTGTCAGGCTGTCACATGTTTCAGAGAACCCCCCTATACAGGGAGTCCATTGCAGTAGATGGAAGGCTTTGCTCTATACATGTGATGGAGTCATGATATTCCCCATTCAAATTTAACAAATACAGTATCTACCAAGTTTATACTTATTATGTCATACCTATCAGTAAAACAGCGCTGCCCATATTTTTTTGGCGGTCTGAAGTTCTTGTAGAGAAAGGCCACATAATATCTAATCATACTCAACAGACACCAAAACCATACTTGTATGGGAAGGCCAAGATGAAAATTGCCATTATCAGACTCAAGAGCATAATAGCTCCATTCAGTGCAAAGTAAAATTTGTCTCTGGAAATGCCTGCTTGCCCCCTTCTTAGAACCTATTAATGGCAGCCAGAATCTTGTGATATCCTAAGATTAATTTAAACCCACCCTGAATTTTTTCCCACTGTGATGTCCCCTCACTTCCCATCCAAGAGATGCAACAGGAAGTGAGGGAATTTTGCTCTCTGAGGTGAACTGTCACCAGAATGCATGTTCTAATTGGAAGACTTGCCCCCACTTTATGTCCTGGCGACAACTGTAAAATATCAGGTTTCTTACCTTCGAGTGGTCAGGACAATCAGAGAGGGCTACCTAGAGAGAAAATAGTGAGTAGTGAAAAAATGACCCTTCCCTAATCGATACAAAACAATACTGTACATACTCTTTAACTATTTTAGACCAAAATTGTAATACTAATTTAAAGCCCAATTAAACTCAATTAAATTAAAGCCCAATTAAATCAGTTAAATACAGTACATCCTAGGTGTATCAAAACAAAAAAAGTCAAATAAAGAGTCCCACCGCACTCCTGACCGAGAAGCCCCATACAATGTGTGGGGGTGCTGAAGTGGCCGCAGATGGCACCGGCAAATACTTGCAAAACAGAAAAATGGTCACCAGCATTTCGTAACCTGTCCGGTCCCTTCATCAGGCAAAGTAAGTGATGAAGGGACTGGACAGGTTCCGAAACATTGCCACGCATGGTGATATGACCTGTGAGAATGAATAAAAGGATTTCATTTTGAAGAAAATCTGGAGTGCTGGTGACCATTTTTCTGTTTTTCAAAACAAAAAAAGGTTCAATGTCTTACAGTAGATTTTCATTCAAAAGCAGCTGCATCCTAAGTATAAAAGACTGTTCCCTGCCAGTATGCTACAGAGCAGGACATTTTCTCTCTGCAGGGAAGAAACGCTATCTGCAGAGGTCCAGCACAACACCCCCTGTTGAGTCAGAGCTCTCCAATCACGGAGGTATGACCTTTGCTGATTGCAGAGCTCTAGCTCTAACTCAGGGGGGGGGGGGGGGGTTTCTGACC